ACTCTGCAGTTGGGAGATGTTTCCAAAAAAAAAAATCACTCTTAATAAATCTCTGTATCTCAGCTTTAGTTCCAGACGACAGAGAAGAGGGAGATGATCTAATTTAGAGCCTTCAGTAAGATAAAGAGGATATATTAAAAATGGACATTACCTGAATTTATAAAATTTGTTACCCATTTACTTTCATTATCACCCCAGTAATCCCAAAGCAGGGTGCAAACTAAGACTGGAAACATACCATTGCATTTTAGGTCACAAACAATACTAATTAGGAGTCCTGTGAAAATTAAAGTAGTACCTTGCTCATCATGAAGCCTTCACAGGGTTGTGATGGGGGAGAGGGGTATTCAGAGTCAGAGAGCTGCTAAGAAAAGATTGCCTTTCAAAATATCTGCATCTGTAACAGTGGGAGGGCTCCTACGAATTAAGCAACGCTGCGGATTGATTTTGATTTTCCTTTTTCCAGTAAGGCAAAAGAAGGGAAAGTAGTGAGGAAGCACAGAGGGAAAAGGATATAGTCATCTAGTCACACGCAGTGGGTTAAACTCATTGAGAGCTCGTCATTGCTACCAGCAGGTGATCTTGGTCCCGTGAAATGCCAGGTTGTTCCCTGTGCATAATGATTAATGACAGACTAATAAGCAATTCCTAAGGTGAACATGATTCCTCTGCAGGCCAAGCTGGGTTGCAGCTATGATTAGTCTCCCTTTGGAAAGGTATTGTTTTTCATTTCCGTTCTTCTACCTTGTCCACTTTATTTGAAAACTGTATTCAGAGCGCCCCCTTGTGCTTTACCTTTGTCACTACATGCATGACTCTGCTAAAGGAAATGGGGAACAAATACAAGGGCACGCAAATAAACCAAGGACACACAGGGACCTTGCATCACCCCTACCTCTTTCTGCTGCATAAAACAAAGGTGGATGACCTATAGCCCACCATCTAATTTCAAAAGGCCTGTGCGAAGCTATCGGTTCCAGCTGCTGATATAAGCCCTCTGTCTTGAACCCTAGGCAGAAAGGGAGGCAAGGGTAAAAGGAGGAAAAGAGGTGGGCTGGACTGCCATTGGTAAATAGCCTCCAACAGATCATCCTTGAAGGCGTGCAATAAAAAAAAAATCCCCAGCCCTATTTTAAAGATGCACAAAGTAGATGTCCAAGGTTATGAGCGCTGAACTACTGCCTCAGTGCAGCAAGAATTGATGTGCAGAAGCACGCTCCTCTGTGGATATTTAAAGATGGGGCACATGGCCATTTCATCTATCTAGGCCCCTCCTGAAACAACTGAATGCCACTTCTGATGTGCCCAAAGATGCACATCACTCTAGCTATTAAATGCAATTATTACTTGAGACTTCATGTATATAGAAGCCAGCATACTAGATACTGTATAAATCAATGAAGCAAAACATGAATACTATTCTACTATTGATTTTTCTCAGGGATTCAAGCTGCAAGTAGATCTGTTTATATTTAGGCATAGAGATCTGGGAATTTATAACTGCTGAGAATATGAAATGGGATCTTGCCTCCTCAACACGCCAGCCGTAAACTCCTCCTGCAATCAGGGAAGAATTACGTATGTTGGTCTTGCTAGGGTTCGACAAGGATTGCCAAGACCAAATGCGTGAACCACTCGGAATACTTTTAATTTGCCACATGAATGTTGTTGCTATTACTGGTAGTCCTTGTTTAGCAGCCCCAATTGGGACCAGCAACTTGGTCGTTAAGCAAAGCAGTTGCTAAGTGAAACTGTGACTGTGCTTGTGATTTTACTTCAGCTTTCCTTTGCTTTACAGACCTGAAAAGGTCATAAATGCGAGGATTGTTCGCAAAGTTGCTTTTTCATCACCTCTTAATGTGAACAGTCACTAAACAAGGCAGTCACTAAATGAGGACTACCTGTACTGTTATTGTAGAATACAGAAGTATTCCACAATTTCTGGTCCAACAATTGCGAATATGATCCCAGCTTATCTGGAGGTCGAAGAAAGTCAAAGAAAGCTGCAGTAACATGTGCCTCATTTTAGAAGTTGCCATTTGCCGGTGATTTTAGTGGAGCAGTCCATTTGTGAGACCCCCTTGGTTCTGCCTAATCAAGGAACGTGAGCAATACAGTGTGATATGCTCCTGCCATGTTCCGCTCAAATATCAAGTAATCAGGAAGCAAAGGGTTCTGCACCTAACCACAGTGAAGCCTAAGTGACGGAATGTGCATTATGACTTCACAGGGCAAGCTCCAAACTTTCATACTTGCATCACATCACACACAAGTAAGGAAGGTGCAGAATTTATGTTGCACATTTCATCAGTCCTCCTTTTCTCTCCCCCAGAGATGTCCATGTCAGGAGATAACAGAACCGTATCCATAGTACATAAATCCTCCTATCAGTTTATGTGTCCCCATGGTTGATCATGCTGACTGAGATTTCTAGCAGCTATAGTCCAACACAGCTGCGTGAACACCAGCTGGGGAAGTATGCATTGGTATAATGCCATGGCCCTTCTTTCTGAGTAGACTGTTAGAAGGACAGCAGGAATGGAGGTGGGTGAAATTCTTCTCAGAAGTAACATTCCTATTCTGTAACAACAATGTACATTGCTAAGCTCTGTTAATCTAACACAGTGTTGGGGGCAGGGGCTGGAACAACCACAACAATAGGCAGTATCTGATTTCATCCACCCTCCATCCACATTTTTATAAACTTACTTCTTTGCAGGTCTTTGGTTGATGTTCATCATAACTTGTGTGGGTTCTGTGCAAAGGTAACTTTAGGGTAAGAGGTTTGATTTCTCTAGTCTCTATGCAGCTTTTATAAGTTGTCAGTCAATAACAGTTCAGAAAGAAAAGAAAAAGGTTAAATGCACTCAGGCATTATATTAGCAACAGTCTATTTTATTCAGTTATATTCTATAGTAGGACAAACAAAAGGGAATGCTGGATTATATGGAAGTATGCTTGGGCTGGAGAAGAAAAGTCTTGCATTCTCATGCCTGGATAGGTGTTGGGGACAATACTTTTCCCTCCTTCATCTCTAGGGTGAAGCCTCTGGTTTGCTTTCTTCTAGAACCTTTCTCCCCCCCCCACCCCCAAAAAAGTCCCTTTTTCAGACAAGTAATATTCATACTATATCCCCCCAGAACCTATTTGCCACTGGGAATCAATCCAGTTCTGAAAATCAGCACACGTACAAGAACCCAGTGTTCTTCCATAAGCAATTCTAATGTTTTAGTTCTTCATGTACAGCTCCCATTGTCCTTAAATGTTACCTTGGCAGTCTCTTCTCTGCTCAAGGACTTCAGCCAGTTTTATCCCACTCAGAATACATTTGAAATCCTTTGTATTTTGCCACTCTACAAAAAGCAGTGGATGGAAGATAACAAAATATTATGCAGGATGTGCAGATTTATAAGAGTCTTATCAGGCCAAATCATCGTCCCAAACACTCTCACTTCTCAAACTAGATTCCTTACTGGGTGTTCAGTCCTATTCCTATGTCCCCTGTACCGTTCTCTTCTGTTCACCACAGGTTCCCATGCTCTTTCAGTAATGATCCATCCTAACCTCTCCTTCAACTCTTCCGTCTGACCCTGCCTTTTAGAAACCCTTCCGCCTACCTGATTTTTCTACCATAGGACAGCATAACATCCCACCTGCTATTTTGTCATTCTTTCAGAATAGGTACAAACTACTTTGGGAAACTGTTTTTCTACAGTGTATTATATAAGCTTCCTACAATACATTTAAGACTGTGTTGCTCCCTATTTTCTATGCTTGCTGATTCCCTCAGCTGCTCCTCTGAAGATTGCTCTGAAGCTATAGAGAAATATGTCTCACTGTGTCAGAGAGTCCTCAATTACTGCAGAGCACGTAACGTTTTGCTCTTTTTTAGTATAAGGGCTACTTCAGGCATGGTTTCTGTTTTGGTTCTGATTGAATAAGGCAAAGAAAACCTGTTTTTATCTTCATAGTGGTGGTTGCTTTTCGTAATCCTTGCTGCTGGAAATTGTATGCGCTGCTGCCGTTAATCGTGTGTGCATCTTATGCTACATTCGCACGTAAGAACAATTCACACGTAACCAAAGATGCCTCTAGTTGTACATGCACGCACGATTGATTTGGCACGCACGATTGATCTGGCACTTACAATGCTTACGACACCCGGCTACAATACGCTTACAAGCTCCAACATCGCCGGGCTTGAGCTAGTTTTCCCTTATTATTATGACCTTCCTCAGCCTCCGTAGCTCAAGTTCCAAGCAGGGTTTAATTTCCCGGATGCGGAAGTGATTGTTCTTTTCTCTCGGGTGGTGGTGGTGGTGGTGCTACTTCGAGCGTACGGTAAGAAGCGGTTCCAATCTGGTGGCATCCGTGGCGCATCTGGTTGGGGGCAGCTGGAAAGAGGGTGGAGGAGGAGCAGTAGGGTGCCGAGAGTGTGATTGTGCAAGTTTGGGGAGTGCGGAAAAGTGGGGCGGGAGAAAAACAAGTCGGCGATTGAGGCCCCTATTCCGGCGATTACTTGCTAATTCTGACATTTTGATTTCTGTTCTGCAGGCAGTTGCGGCCAGAAGCCGTCGCCATGGTAAGTGGCGGTTGCTCCTGAATCAGTTGTTCTTTTGAATATGCCAAGAGTTAAAGAGAGTGAAGCCGGCTGGAAAAAGATGCAAAGAAAAAGCCTTTTCCCACGGAGGGCCTTTTGATGTTTAATAATAACAGCTAACATTATTCATACTAATGCTTAAATGCGTTCTGCTCTTGTACTTAGTTTTCAGGTTTTAAACACTGAAGTAAGGCATAGTTTTATTTATTTTTTTACAGCGAGTTAAATTTAATATGTTGAAAGGAAATAAAGTGGGAAGAGAAATAAAATGAAAGATGGGGCAAAACTTGGGGACATTCTAGGGCTGCAATTCTAGGAGAGTGGCAATGGAAAGCAAATAAAAAAGTTGATGCCTCCCTCAGATGTAGCTTGATTCTTAGCAGCACCATGTGATTACCTTAGTCACATCATGGAAATGGTTTGCCACTGTCTTCTTCCAGGATATTTTTTCAATTTACTAATCTAGCCTGTAGCTGTAATATTTCCTGGAGGCCTCCCGTCAACATGGTAACCAGGCCTGAGGCTCTTACTGTAGTATCTGAGCCCAGAGAGGGTCAGCTATGTGATGCCACCTTTTGAGAGCCCTGCAAAACAGTAGATTATTCTTTCTCACAGTGGTTGTGATTTTCAAGGCAGGCAGCACCAAATTAAGCCTATACTAGCCATAGAGATGGTACACCCATAAATTAAGAACATAGTCTGGAAGGAGTCATACCATCCCCGTTTGCTGTAAGGGAAGTATGTGAAAGGTGCTAGTGCCGGGGGAGAAGAAGCTGGAAAAAGACACACATACAGAGTTTGGTATTGGGAAAGGCAGTGAAGATACTAGCTTCTTTGAAACATGCTGCTTTAGATTGAGAGCTTTGCAGGGACTGGAAAAAGCATGGTAAGATAACAGCCTTCCTTTGTGCCTCTACAATACACATACCACCAGTTGAGAAAATAGTAAGACTGACACAGCTGTTAAGGCTGGAATACTCATTGAAATGAAACTATATAGCTAGATATGTAGATGCATATGCCTGTTGTTGCCAGAGGTTTCAGAATAGGACAGAATATTTATTTTGGTGAGTTTGTTCCACTTTGTCTTCAGCACAATGAGTAGGCAGCCTCCTTCCCAGTTTCAAAATTGCAAACGGAGATGGCAATGATTTCAGCAATTTCAGATTGATCTCCATCACTTTACCTGCCCCAAGTTAGGTGAAAGGTTGGGATTACTTTGGAAGTTGTTTGATTAAGGTATTTAGAAAGTCTTAGCTGTATAGAACTGTAACAAAAGCCTGTCACTCCATCAGCCTTTCCAATTCTGGAACAACAGGAGAGGGTTAGAACTATAGCTTGAAGGAATTTGTGGCAGTTTCTACAAATGTACCAAGTCAGGTGTGATCCCAGCCAGTCCTTTCCTTGGGAAGGGATAGGAATGGACTGGGGGTTTTGGCACTACTATTTGAAGGTGCTCGAGATACCTTCACAAAGTTGTCATAGCCCGGTTTTCTCACAAGCAGCCCTTGCCTCAGGAACAGTTTATGATGGACATTTTTATTGGAAAGCTGCCAGGATTGCTCCAAGCAGCAGCATTCATCCAGTCAATCCCCCTGTGTTCCCTTCAGGAGGAAAGGGATTCGGAGGTAGGCTTGACAGCATAGGATTTCTGGAAGTTACAGGTGAGCAAGATCTGGAGAGCCAAGTAATTCGCTTTTGCAGTATGTCAGTCCCCACACAGCTAGGCAAGAGCAAGAGAGCAAGAATTACATAGACAGCAGTAAGATGTCTTTAATATTAAGAGTAAATATGGAAACTGCTAGAGGAATTTCCAACCCTCATTTATTAGTAAGCTCATAGAGATGAGTCAAGATGGAGTCCCTCAGAATATTTTGGATAGTTTCTTTCCAGATTTCTTGCCTCCTGGACTAAGCTACTATTTATGGTTGTTTAACATTCATTCCATTACCTTATCAGCCTCCCCACAATCTCACACTGTACCTGTTGCTGAAAATGAGTTCATAAAGTTTACAATTTTCTATTTGATAAAAAGGCATGGCAGCAAAGGAAAAGTTGTGTGGACTGCAGGAGTAGGAATTAAATATATATTTCTACATTGCATCAGATGTCAAACTTATGTTGATTTTTTTATTTATTACAGCCTCGAAAAATCGAAGAGATCAAAGATTTTCTGTTGACTGCCAGGAGGAAGGATGCAAAATGTGAGTACCAGTTTGTGCTCTTTGCTTTGTTTCGGGTGCATGATTTAGTCTTGTATTTTAGATGATGCTGAAAATGTAATATCAGTTGTTATGTTAGAGTGGTATTCTTTATTAAATATGAGCACTGTCAACTTTTTAAAAATATTCTATAGAAACCCAGGTCTTGTTCAAATACTGTATTTAGAGAGCCATATCCTAGTCATACATTCTGTTCCCCTCTATCCATGTTTTAAAGCCAATAGCTCTTTTTTGCTGATACTTTTAAGTGATGTCTCTGAATATTTTCTCATATATAAAACAGCGTTATTAAGTAAGTAAATGATTGGAAGCTTAATAGTGAAACTGGTAGTCTAGCATTTTCCAAAACAATTTTAATTGGCATCATTTAGCATACCACAGTTTAAAACCATAGAGCTTTGTAATGGCATTACTTAGCCGCAGCAACTTTCCAGGACATTGTAATCAGCTAAAAAATTGCCATTAAACATATTTTCATGCATGTTTAATCTTAGAAAAGGATTAGAAATTATTTTATGGTAGAACCCAAGCCTCTTCTGTTTAATGGTTTTGAAGTTTAGGAATGTACTATAATCCCGCAGTACTGTAACCTACCATGTGATCTGAACTTCATCTAATTCCTATCAATAGATAAAGAGATTGTAGTTAAACAGACAATACAGAAAGCAGTGTACTGTGTCACATCTTATTGAACACATGTTGGAAAAATATGTGAAGCTTTACATAGTAACTGGTGATGCCTCCTGTAGCAGCAGTGATTTCAGCCAAGTGCTTCCTGTACCTGTTAATCCTGTGCATTAGCTTGGAGGTATTTTGGCCACTTCCTCTTTATACAGCTGTATCAACTCTGATGTTTTGAGACTGTTGTGCATGAACTGCTGGCTTTAGGTCATGCCACATTCCATTTGAGTTAAAATCAGGACTTTGATTTGGCTGTTCCAGAGTGCAGATTTTCTTCTGCTTCACCCATTCTGTTGTAGATGTGCTTGTGTGTTTAGGATCATTGCTGTGCTGCATGACCACATTCATTTAAGTTTCAGTTTATAGGCAGATATGCTGATAGACTCCTGTAGAATTTCTCAGTGCAGTACAGACTCCATTGTTCCCTCTTGATCCTGAGAGTACAGAGCAGCTCCAAATCATGATATTGCGATTGATATGCTGATTGGGATGAGAATCGTTTGGGAATGCAGTGGTTTTTCTTCTCCAAACACAACATTTCTAATTAATTCCCCAAAGTTCCACTTTTATCTCATCTGCCCACAGATCATTATTACAATAATCTATTGGATAGTTCCTTAGGGAAGACTCATGAATACATTCATCAGACAATGCAAAAATGGCCCGCAAATCCTTTGCCATCACACTGGGGTTCTTTGCAATCTCCCAATGTGTTATATTCCTGGAGCAGCTAGTTTGGCTTACCCTCTTAAGAGAGCTGATTGTCCTAAGGTTTCACTTTTTTTTTCTAAGATAGTGTATGTTGCCTCAATATGTTCCTTAAAGATAGCGTATATTTATTGGGTATAGAATCTACTAATAGGTCTTAGATCAAGCTGATATCACATTATAGGTAACAGAAACTGAATTTTGGCTTGCTTTTATATACTTTTGATATGTATGTGTCTTTAACAAGCGTTAGCTTCAAGCTTCTTCCGGGAAAGTATTTAAGGGAAAACATTTTCAAAAAGGCATGACAGCTTAGTTCTACTTCACAAATGTCATTGTCAGCATGGGATAAAATGGATGTAATAAAATGTTCTGTCTCAAAGTTACACTAAATTCTGTTTCTTACTAGGCAGTTTGTTCCTTACTATAATCAATGTATAATGCTAACCCCAATATTTTTATGCTGTAGCTGTTAAGATCAAGAAGAATAAAGATAATGTAAAGTTCAAGGTGCGTTGTAGCCGGTATCTGTATACATTGGTCATCACAGATAAGGAGAAGGCTGAAAAACTGAAGCAGTCTCTGCCACCAGGTAACTGAATCATGTGGAATTATGGAATATGTGTGAAAATTGATAGTAAACAAATAGTCCCACATTTTAGCCAGTTGATTCTTACTGGGGGTTTTTAGGTATATGTTTTATCTATTTGTTCTGTCATAAGATGATGGGTATTCTCATTGGTCACTCTCTCAGCCAATCCTATCTCACAGGGTGCTATGTAGAATGCTCAACTTCTGGAGAAAAAGCAAAATATAAATATAAAATCACTTAATTATTATATATTGCATGTGGGGAAACCCTGAATGTTTGGGGACTGGGCAAGTTTTAAAAAATAGTGATTACAGGCTATTTCTCCAGTTGCTTCCTGAAAGTAAATATTATATTAGGAAATAAAATCAAGCTGCCTGGTATGGAGAGTTAACCTTATGTGCTTAAGGATGTAGATATGTGATCCATTTGTTTTAAGAAATCAAAAAAAATGGGGAGCCCCCCTAACTTCTCATTAGAAGATCATAAGAAAGTGGGAGCCACCTTGATATGGAATTCCACAGCCTGGCAGAACTACTAAAAGTTTCTCCCTCTGATGTCAACTAAATGGTGGCTTTTCAAAAAGTGGAAAGTCAAAGCCAGAAAAGTGGTCATAGTCATCTCTGTAGATGGGTAGAAAAAACAGCCCTTTAGATATTTTAGTTTCAATTGATAATAAACTTTAAACATCGTCACTAACACTTTGAATTGGTCCCAGAAACAGTTGAAACATTTAGATAAAGTAGTCACTTTTTTCCTAAATGGAATTTCTCTTAAGAATCTGGCAGTAGCATTCTAAATAATTGTTATTTCCAAATACTTTTCAGCTTATTGCAGTACTCCAGATGTGGAGTAACTAAGGCATCAGTTGTCCTGACCAAGTTTTCTCTCTCCAATGACCTAAGCTGGGTGAAAGCATTCCCAATTACAGTTTATATTTGAGGTCAAAGCTGAGTGCAGAGAAACTGCTGAGCTGTGAACCTACATTTGCTATTTTATCCAGCATTGATTGAATTGTTACTCCTAAGTCAGCACTACTAAATAAGGATGCCTCTGTCATAGCTGAGTTAATCTTTAGTGGTTTGCTCATATCCAGGCATCAGTTCTGGATCTCTCCATCTAATTCTAAAGAGGCTGTAAAGGAATCACATTGGATGTTATCTGTACATTGACACAAACTGAAAATTCTAGGATGGCTTCTTCCAACAGTTTTATGGAGCTGTTAGATGACATGAATAAAATGAATGTTTAGCCATTCACTAGTGGCTGATACACTGAGAGACCATTTTCTTCATCCAACGAGAACCAAACTATGGACCTAAAACTGATTTAAAATTGATCCTGATAATTTGTGTATATAAGTAGAGTTGAAAGACTGTTGCGCACATCAAAATCTTATCTAAAAATTGTAAACTGGCTGGAGTTACTTGATACTGTAGAATTAATAATTAATTACTTGTTAGAAGGATAGTGTTTTTTTCCCTGAGAAGAAAAACTACAGTTAAGGAAGTTTAATTTCCATTGGTTTCAGTCAGTAAGTATAGTATATGCTTTTAAAGCTAGTGGGACTTAATTAGTTAAATCCTTTTGCATTGTGATCAAATTACTGTGCTGTTTGCTTAAATACAGGTTTTTTTTCTTGTTAATACCAAAGTGAAAGTCCATTTTTAAGAAATAATTCAGATTTAATGAAAACAAAAAAAATCAGTGATTAGTTCATGTTAAAAATAGAGGGTGACTGAAAGAAATGAAATTGATCCCAGAAAGCAGTAGGTTTTAGTAGATGCATCCAGTTAAATGATACATATTTTGTATGAACATCAGTATTTGGTATTTGTTTCAGAATTTACAACAGAGTGGGGGGGGGGGAGTCCAAAACAGATTTAGAGAAAAATGACTGAAAAGCAGTGTAATAAATATCCACATAGGGAAGTGGCAGATGGGAGAGTTTTGAATTTTGTAGCAGATACGATAGAAATGTCAGCCTAATAAGCCAAGCTTTAAAAGCCTTGTGTCTAAATGTCACTTGTGTAGCAGGAATATTATAGAGCTGGAAGGCTGCATTTAGGCCATCAAATCCAACATATCTGCTGGATAGAATAAAGAGATGTCAATTTGAAGAACCACATAGATACTTTGGATGTTCAGTGACATATCAAGCCACCAATTAAAAACTATGACTTTTCAGGCTACTTGCTTCTCAAGTTATGAGAGTGCAAATTATGCTCTTATGCTCGCTCACGGAGGTCTCCTTACTAAGGTTAGGCAGCTTGTGTTTGGGAAAATGGTTAAAAATGTGATAGTTTTACAAGGAGAAATAGTGAGAATATTGTCTCTTTGCTGTTTTTCAGTATCTGTTTCTCCTTTCTCTCTAGGTTTGGCAGTAAAAGAACTGAAGTGAATCTGTCATCCTTGCAATTTGCCCTGTGGATTGTAATAAAGGAATGAACTTTCTCTCTTCTCACTGTCATCTTTTTCTGCAAGTAGCTTGGACAGGAAACATTAGAACTAGCCTAGCAAACATTGACATTCCACATTATGAAATCAATAAGCATAGAGAAGAGCGTCTGTTCTTAATTTTGAAATAGGATTGATTTGGATAGCACCATGTTCAGATCCAACCTGCAGTTGCTGTCTAGGATAGTTACAGTTCTGATGGACTTGAGATACAGATCTCTTGCAAATACAATTCCTGAATACTGGGATAAGATGCAAGTTGTCTTGGGACTCCCAAAAGTAGCTTCCCCAGCCAAGCACTGTTCAGACATATTGGGAATTTTAACCCAGTGCATCTGAGGAGGCCAGGCTGGGGAGGCTGTTCTAACAGACAAAGGTCAGGAGTCATGTCTATGTCACAAAAATCAAGCTGAAACATGGTGGAATATAATAATAATCAGAACTGTCAATATAAAAGCATGAAACCTGCTGAGGGGTATTACTTCATTCAAGACCTTGTTTTGAAAGCCCTTTGTTAGCTCTAGAAGATGTTCATGAATAATTCAGAGGATGGTCTTCAGCATATAAAGAGTATATTTCCATCAACCACCGCCAGCTTTCTTCTTCCCATAGCTGAGTCTTGATTCTGACTACTGATCTGGTCATCATTGGCAAACAGGAGTTCTACATCTTCTAATAATCTTTATATGCATTTTAGGATATACTGTAATGCCCATAGGCGCCAATGTGCCTACAATTCTCTTGAAGCTGTCAGACTTCTTGCTGTACAAGGGTTTTTCAGATCCTTTAAAATGGAAAACTGGCATGCTATGGAGCACATGCCCCTAGCATTTTCATTTCTAAGAATGTTTCTTGGCTCTCATAGAGCCCAGAGGCAGAAAATAAAAATAGTAACGCTGTATTTCAAAGTGTGTCTACTTGCCCAAAAGGAAAATAAAGGTAAACTCAGTGGAGTCAGTTGCAGAGCAAGAACATGTGACAGGCAGAACATCATTGTTTGCCTGTTTAATTAATTGGCTGTCCGAAAAACTCTTCCACTGAGATGGAACTTTTCAGTCTTCATAGTTTACCAGTGAGGTTTTAAGATCCTTCTCTTTGAAATGTCCATGGAAATCCTGCTTGCCAGTAATTACCAGGTCAGTGGTTAAGACTCATTTGGTTTCATACGAATTTTTTTCCAAAACAAGGCTTTCAAACTTTTTGGATTACAAAAATAAAACTTAAAGTGGAATTTAGGAAAATATGTAAAATGCTGTTTGAATATACAGTGGTACCTCGGGTCACGAATGCTTCTGTTCACGACCAATTCGGGTCACGAACAGCACCGTTCGCAAATTTTTGCTTCCGTTCGCGAACTCCACATCAGGTGACGAACGGGATCTGTGGCATTTTTCCCTGCCGTGACACGTGGTCATGGCTTCCCGTCGGGGAGGGGGGCTCTC